GGGGGGGGGGGACTGGCCACTCCACAATCCCTTCTCCTCATTCTCTTCTCGGGATTTTGTGCACATATGCACACATGCCTGGCATGAGTTTTAAGCCACTGGGTCTGGGACTTGAACCATGGTTGATTATGTGGGAGTCCAGCAATATAGCCATTACACCATGTGCTGGTCCCTATCCTGACTTTTGTGTTAGTTATTTCTTTGCTTGTCTTTACAGACCATATAAACACACTCACATGCACATTTTTTTTAAAAGAAGATTTTTGCTATAGGCTGTGTGGGCTCGCCAGAGAGAGACAGAGACAAAAAGTGAGAAAACACCTCCCGGGGGGATGACCACACCACATCCCTCTCCTCCATTCTCCCCTCGGGATTTTGGACACACATGCACACATGAGCTGGGCGTGAGTTTTAAGTTGCTGGTGCAGGACCTGAACCACAGCCGACTATGTAGGAGTCCAGCAACATAAGCACTACACCATCTTCTGGCCCCCATATGTGTCTTTAAACAAGATCATTAGTTTGAAAAGTTAGGGAGCAAGCAGAAACCTAGCCGTGTAAGGAAAAGAAGCACGCTTTACTCAGAGCGTCCAGGTCCCTGTCAGCCTCGGCTTCCACATGGAGGGGCCCAGGGATCCCTGAATAGCCTTTGCTCCCTGATGCCAACACATGGAAGGTGCATCCCACCTCTCAATTTTCACTTGTCTTTCCCAACCTCCGGTGGATAGTGACCTTTCTTTCAACTTTGTCCTAATAAATCCCATAAATTCAACATTGCTAACTTGCTATTTTATGTCAAGGATGATCCCTAGTAGAGTGTATCATTTCAACATTACATTTCTTTTTTTTTTTCCTTTTCTCTTTTGGAGAGGTTTTTGCTATAGGGCGCATGCGCTCGCCAGATAGAGAGAGACAGAGACACAGAAAGCGAGAAATCACTCCCCAGGGGGGATGGCCATGCCGCAATCCCTTCTCCTCCATTCTCCTCTCGGGATCTTGGGCATGCACGCACACGTGCCCGGCATGAGTTTTAAGTCACCGGGTCTGGGACATGAACTGCGGTCACCTACATGGGAGTCCAGTGACATAGCCATTACGCTAACTGCTGGTCCCAACATTACATTTCTTGAAGTAAGTCTCAGACATTAAACTCAAACTTGCAAATACAGTGGTGCTGTCCTCAGGGACCTCCCAAGTTCCCAAGCTGCGTGTCTCCAGCTATCAAGAGCACGGACTGAGGCACAGGCTAGCTGGCACAAGGAATCCCTTTAGACTGATCTCTACAGCGCTCGGAAACTCTGAAGCTGAAATCGTGGGTGTTTCCATTGGTAAGTATTTGTCACATCACATAAAAAACCTGTGGGTTCAGAAGGTTAAGGGAGAGAAAGTTATGAGGAAAGAAAAATAGACATTTCTATGTTTAAAATCAGCATCGAGGTCAGCAGCTGGATCCCATATGGCCGACTGCATGGCTTGAGTCCTGCACATGGTGGCTTGAAAAGCCATGCCAGGCACATGTGCGTGCATGAGGAGAAAGGAGGAGAAGGGCTGTGGTGTGGCCATTATCCCAGAGGGCGATTCTCACTCCTCCCCCCCTTTCTGTCTAGTGAGCACACATGCCCTATAGCAAAACATTTTAAATCCACATCTGAACATCGACGAAGACATGAAAACTTCTTCCACAGGTTAAAGGCCACTGTGAACATCGTACTCAGTGGCTCTTCCTGCAAGAACAGGAACAAGGATTTTGCCACTTTTATTCAACACAGCACTGGAAGTTGCAGCCAGAGTCATTAGGAAGGAAAGAAAAGGCCTCAAATGGAATATATATACTTGTATGTACACTGAACTCCATTTGTAGACGATGTCTTATTTTTGTTTTTCACTGGAGGGCATGTGTACTTTCCAGAGAGACACAAAAAGACCAAGTGGAAGAGGAGAAAGCACCTCCCCAGAGGGAACGGTAAGGCTGCAGATGCTTTTCCTCCGTCTCTCTCCTTTTGGGATTTGGGGTACACATGCATGTGCATCTGGTGTGTTTCTCAAGCTGCCAGACCAAGACTCGAACTACGTGGTCAACCATGTGAGATCTGGCTGCCTTAACCACCAGGCCACAGAGCTGGCCCAAAGACATCATATATACAGAAAATTCTACATTTTTTAAAAGTTAAAATAAGTTAATTGTACCTAAAATTACAAAATATTGCTGAAAGAAATCGAAGAATAAATAAATGGGAAGACATTCTGTGCGCGTGAATGGGAAGACTCAATATTGTTAAGACATCAGTTCTTCCCATGTTGACCTACAGATTCGCTGTAATCCCAACCCAAATCCCAGCACATTATTGTGTGTACATTGACCAAAATGATTCTCAATTGTATATGGAAAGGCAAAAGCCCCAGAATAGCCAACACAGTATTGAACAAAACTGGAGGACTGACACTACCCAATTTCGAGACTTACCATAAAGCTACAGTAATCCAAAAACAATGGTACTGGTGAGCGGAAACAGGTCAATGGAAGAGAATGGAAAGCCCCGAAATAGACGCACATAAATCGAGTCAGCTAACTTTAGCAAATGAGCAAAGGCAACACAATGGAGAAAGGGTATTTTTTCAACAAATTGTACTAAAAAAGAAAAATGAACCTAGACACAGGCCTTATACTCTCAAAGACTGTTGTGTAAAACACAATGCTTTGAACTTTTAGAAGGTAACTTAGAAAATCTAGCTGACCTTGGGTTGGTGATGACTTTAGATACAGCATTGAAGGGAGATCCATGAAAAATAAAATTTATAAGCTGGATTTCATTAAAATTCATTTTTATCTGAAAAATAGTGTTCAGGAGAATTTAGACAGGGGCCGGCAGGTGGTGTGGTGAAGGCACCGGACTCCCACATGTTGTACTGTGGTTGAAGTCTCAGACCTGGTGGCGTGAAATTCACGCTGGGCGCGTGTGCACGCAGTCCAAAATCTTAAGAGGAGAATAAAGGAGAAGCGACTGCTGCGTGGCCATCCCTCCTGGGGGTGATTTCTCACTTTCCCTCTCTTTGTCTCTCTCTCCAGTGAGCACATGCACCCTATGACAAAACCTAAAAAAATAAAATAAAAAGGAATGAAAACAACACTACTAGACGAAATTAAGAAGATATAAGTAAGTGAGAAAGAAATTTCCTGTTCAAGGGTTAGGTTTTCAGAAAAACTGCACAGATGACGGAGTTCCCATGTGCTTCCCTGCTCACACCTCGTTCCTCTTGCACTGGTGTGGTCATCTGTTTAAATACATGAACCAAGAGGAACACATTCGTATTACCTGAAGTTCATAGTTTCAAGTTTCTCTCTTTGTCATATAGTTGAGTGGATTTTTGTTGCTGTTCAGTTTGACCAGAGGGACAGAGGAGGGTGAGAAAGCAAGTCGCCAGGTCTGGGACTCAAACCACAGTTAGCCATGTGGGAGTCCAGAGCCTTAATCACCACACCACCCACTGGCCCCAGTTGAAGACATTTTGAGAGATGCGTAACGTCACATCCCCGCCAATACAGTATCATGTAACTGCTCAACCATCCTGGAAATCGCTGGTGCTCTCGGTGTCTCTCCTGCAGAGCCTGACAAGCACTAATGTCTTGGCCAATTTTGCTTTTCCACAATGTCATATACGTTGCAACCAGTGTATGTGGCCTTCCAGACTTTTTTCACTTAGAAATACGCATAGTTTCCTGTTGGGGCTGGCAGGTGCCGTGGTGGTTAAGGCAGATGAACTCCCATATGGCTGACCATGGTTGGAATCCAGGACCTGGCAGCTTCCTTTCTTACTTTCCTTCTCGCTCTCTGTCTCTGGTCAACTTCAATAAAATAAATAATGACAATGAAAAAAATTAAATAAAAG